ATAATAATAATAAAACTTTATTGTACATTTAGTCACAGTACAATAGTCAGGCCTTTCTGACTTCATGTCTATATAAATTGGTTACATGCGACACTATTTTTGGGCATTGCATTATAACAAAAGAATTCGGCCAGTATGCGGAACGATGACGTCACCTAACACAACTAAAATAAAATCATGAATATCATTAAGAAAAGTTTAAATATTTTAACCAATTATCTATGGTATTTTTTTTTTTACTTTTTTTACACACTTTTGAATACAGGCCATCTAGAATCGTCGCCGAAAAATATCACAAACTGGAATTTAACTTTATAGAAATAGGGTCTGGGTCATCTCTTATATAGACTTATTTCATATTCATAAAGTAGTTATAAACATTGAGATAATTCCTAATACATTTCTCGATGCTCTATGTCCATAACTGAGTAATATTGCATTGCTTTTTTTTAAAGATATAGGTAATGAGTGCCAAGGTGTTACCTTTAACGTTGTCATGAAAAAAAAAATATCCAATGCCAACTGGTGTGTTTTAATGCTTATTCAATTCGTGATATTAATTAAAATAAGTCATATTATATTATCAGAATATACAGTACTAATAATTGCCAATCTATTAGGTTTAGCATGTTAAACATAATTCCAAATCTAGATATGTAACGCATTTCATACCACTACGATTTTCTCTTACTAATATGAAGTTAGTAGTTTTTTTTATAGGAAAAGGGGGCAAACGAGCACCGAATCGCCTAATATTATTTGATCCGACGCCCATGGACATCCGCAACGCCAGAGGAACCACAGATGTGTTGCCGGCCTTTAAGGAAGGAGTACGCTCTTAAGTTTCTGGGATGTAGTTTCTTAAGGGAGAGTCTAAGACCAAAATCTCCGTATTAAACATGCTTGTCTTTATTTTTTACAACACGAAAATAAGAATATGTTTTAAACGATAAGAGATTTTGCACTCGGATAACCACGGTTAGTGATAAGTAATGTCAACGTAGCTTACAATAGTCGAAACTCCAGTAAAAACGTATTTTTATACATTTTCTTGCAAAAATAAGCAATAATAAAGTCATAAATAATCCATTAAGAATTGTTATGTCAGTGTTTACGCTTATAGTGTAGTTAAAACTTTTTTCTTTACTTATTTCTTGACCTATTTTCTTTCATACTTAGTCCAATAAAAAAGATACAACAAAAATCATCCGTGCATAAATTGTTTTTTACACACGACTACTATTAATGTCAACAAATATTTGAATCATATTTTTATAACCTTATTTTTCATGACAGACGGAAATATTTAATTTTGTCATTTAAAAATTATATTAATCACAAATTGAAAGACAAAAGAATGGCAAAACATGCCTATTGTTTTTCCTATGCTACAGTATGTTTTACTTAATAGCAAGAAGTGACACAAAAACTATTCTTAAAACAAAAGACGATACTTTTTCAATCGCTAAAAAGTAACCAGAAAAAGTAATAAATTAAGTCTTTAATTATAGCTTAAATACGTTCTGCTTTACCTTATTTGTCCTTTATCTTCTTTTGTATGATTTTTACTGCTTGAATATCATTTATTATCGTTTATAAACGTCGCTTAAGGACTGGACATTGCATCAGCAAAAGTTAAACAAATGAAGATCGCTTCCTCAATATCCAATCCTGTTGTCCTTCATTGATCTGATCTATATATACTTTTTGCATTGTTTAGGTCACTGCCATTTGGACTATAAAAGGATATAGGATATTTCAACTTTTAATCACTGTATGACAAGAATGCTTTTTATAGAAAGGTTTGTTGTCAAGGACGACTAGACTACTAATATCAAACACATTAAGTTAAGATCGTGGGTACATTTCCACTGAATTATGTTTAAAATGCTGACAGTTTTCTAGGTCTAGGGAAGGTTTAAAAGGCGAGGAAAATTCGAATAATTGTCGGGAACTGATTAAGTTTTTTCTTTCATATCACGCTGACGGAGTCGCGCGCGACAGCTAGTAACCTTATAATACTGATACAGGCTAATAAAATATTTTTATGACAAATGTTTTCAAGGAGAATAAGAGACTTGATGATTTCATACTCCCTTCAGTGTCTTTAACGAATTTAACATTAACTTTTCGTTTTTTTTTTTAATCAACTGATGATAACGAATTGTTGACAACATTTCCATGCAATGTTACTTATTTTATAGTCTACTAGCGGACCCGACAGACGTTACAGGCGGACCTGTCTACACGTCTTTAATTTGAATAAATTAATATAAAGTTAATATTTGATGAAAATTGTGAATCTAAACCATTCCCAGATCCCCTCGAACACACACAAAAAATTTCATCAAAATCAGTCCAGTCGTTTGAGAGAAGTTCAGTGACATACACACTCTCAGAAGAATGATATATATAAAGATTAAGTATTTTATTTTTAACGTGTTAAGACAGGTGAAATAAGTTGTTCTTTAATTTTTTATAACATGCTAAGACAAAGTCTATAGTTTAAGTTGTCTATTCGTGTACACACACATGGTGAAATTGACGACGCAACACTGTAGCCACGAGGTTTACCATTTTGGCGATTACATTTTGCGCATTAATCTTATGGAATGCGAACACCACTTTTTATTTGTAATTTATGATATTTATGTTACAAGCCATTGTCAATTGCTTTACTTTTTATACACTCAGGCGTCGGTAGACTGCATACAGAAAAAAGGCTGTTCAATTTTGTCGGAGCCTATTACAAACATACAAACAGTAAAATCTTTCCTTTTAATATATATTTTTTTATTATTAAAAATATTAGCAGTATTTTTTATGGAAATTTACTAATATTTCTTTTACCATTTCAACTAAGCTCTAGGCTTGTGCTAGGATATGGTTTACGATAATAGTCGAATGGCGGGATTCGAACCAACGACCTCGTGTTCCCTTAACCATTAGGCTATTGACGCTTGAATAATGTTACTATAGATGAGACGGGAACAATATTTTATCTAAATATGAACAAAACTGAACCATAGTGTTTACTAGTATTTATATTTAATTTAATAATCTATTTCGTGATGTAATTTGACATTGTTACGGCGCCTGACCATATCTCAATGAAATATGTGCGTACATTTATATTTGTAAAGATTTAATTTAAACTCGACCTCGCCCAAAACTAAAAGAACTGTTATTATGTTGATACACATTTACCAACTAATTACATATTAGTGTAGAATTATTTACAGAAGCAAATATTAAATATATATGAAGATATTTACCTCAATTATTACGATATAGAGCGTCAGTGACTCTGGCGCTTGACTCGCAATCTTCAAGTCTTAGGTTCTAATCCCACCATGTACCAATGTGTTTTTCCGATTTACGATTTACATATGTACATTTATCCAACGTTCCTTCAGTAAAGGAAAAGATCGCAGCAACCTGCACATATCTAAGAAGAAATTCGAAGATATGTGAGAATTCAACTGCACTGGCGCGTGGTTGACTATGGCTTAGTCACCCCTAACTTAGAGTAGGATCTGAGCCTCTCAGTGGGGACGTATAATAAGCTGTAATGATGATTTCTTTACGGATAGTGAAACAATTTCATACATTATATATTATTTTAAAGTTTTTCTAAGAATATATAGCAACTGAAATTAATATTATCTTAACTATTTGTTAGCTATCAACCTCAAAAGGTTTACATTTATTAGCTAATAACAATTAATATCATTAATTGCATACGGACATAGCAACATAGTTGTTCATATCAACTTATCAATTGTACAGTCAAAGAATTATATTCCCTTCCCACTGAGGATCGAGAATAGTCATCATCATCAGCTCACTATACGTCCCCACCGAGGGGCTCAAAGCCCTTAGTAAAGGGTGACTAGGCCATAGTCAACCACGCTGGCCCAGTGCGGGTTGGTTGACTTCACACATATCTTTGAATTTCTTCTCAGATATGTGCAGGTTGCTTCACGATGTTTTCCTTCACCGTAAGAACGTCGGATAAATGTACATATGTAAATCGGAAATCGAAAAACACAATGGTACATGGCGGGATTCGAACCCAGCACCTGCAGATTGCAAGTTAAGTGCTTGACCACTGAGCCACCGACGCTCCCAGAGAGAATAGTAACTGTGATAATTTTCGACCTAATTGCACTGTAAATCACAAATGATATTACACCAAAGTGTGTAGGGAATATACGTCCTCGACTATGTTCGCAAACCGGATCTGCCTTTAAAAATTGACATAACAGCCTCCACTGTAACTAGTTTAATTTTTAATTAACTATCATTAGAGCAATAATTGCTTTCTTGATATATGATATTGATACTATGTTGATTTATAATTGTATTTATTGCCATTCAGAACGCTTTATGTGCATAGCTAAATTAATATGTTACATATATTATTAGACTGGAATCTTACTAATATTATTAATGCAAATGTTAGGATGGATGGATTGTTAGAAATTATTTATTATTACAACTAATGCAATTTTTAACAATAAACTAATAAAGAATCTAACGACACGACAGACCGCCAGGTTCCATCCACACCATCTCGATGGCTGGCAATCCACAACCGTGCGGTTTGCGCGAAACTTCCTGCCTCGCACAGCAGCGTTGTGGAATGGTCTGTCCTCGGCGGTAT